GGGGGCAAGGGGGCGGGGGCATTATCTTCTGTAGCCACTGGCTGATGCAAGCCTCTATCATTGCTACTGTGGTCATTCTTAAGGCCATTGAGCAAGTATCAGATTGGGGGTCGGGGAGAGATATAGATGCAGCCCTGTCCACATGATGATTAAGAGGTTTTTGCTGCAATAGGCACTCTGGATAGAATTTATATTGGACACAAATTTGTGTCCTTTCCAGACAGCCATCTGCTTTATCTTTCCTCAGTTCTCCTTGTCAGCAATCTTCCATTCTTGCTTATTCCAAATCTGTACCCATTTGGATAAATCATTCACCACTGCCTAAGAATTGATAAAAAAAAAAAAATGACCAAAGGCTTTCCATCCTGAAAGGTATAATGGGCAATAAAAGGAACTGCTTGAAATTTTGCCAAATCAGAATATGTTTCTTCGGTATGGTCCCTCAGTACCTTCCCTGCAGGGACTGTAATGCTTTAGCAGTCCTCTTTTGGCTAGTACTGTCACAAATGAACTAAGCTCAGATTTCTCAAATTTGTCAGCTGATTTATAGGGACTGCCTCCATGAAGATATAATCCTGGTTGAGGGAAAAAGCCTAATGGGTAAGGGCTGTAATTAGCTGTTCAGGTATTCTGTGCCTTTGGGACCTCCATAAGCCCAGTCTTATGTTTACAGATAAACTCCAAAAAGGATTAATGATATGGTCACCTGGATTCCCTTAGTATTAGGCATTTGCTGTCTGTTAGAACTAGTGGCCAGCCATTAGATGTTTACTGAGAAAATGGTATCTGCTTAGCACTGCCTGATGTGGCTCAGTTGGTTGGGCGTTGTCCCATGCACCGAGAGGTTTGATTCCCAGTCAGGTACATGCCCAGGTTGTGGGCTCGATCCCAGCAGGAGGTAGCCCATCCATGTTCCTCTCTCCCTCTCCCTTTCTCTCTAAAATCAGTAAAAACTTTTTTAAATGGTACCTGCTTTAAGTAGGTTGGCTTGCTCCAGAATCCCAGTGGCATGCTCTGTGATCAGATTGGGACATGCTTGAAGCCACATGCAGCACCCTGATGCCCCAGGATCACAGTGTAGCCTGAGCAGCTGAGCTGTACTACTGTAGCCTGTCTCACTTACAGAGCATTCTCCTGCTCTGAATTTTACTTGCAATTGGCAGCTTTTTGGTTTACCCAGTAAAAGTATAAAAGTAGGACACCCAAATACAGGATATGTGTCATCTGTAATATGTAGGAGATTCTTGGGGCAACAAACTACTCTTCATTTCCAAGGAGATCTCCAAGGTCAGACCTCCTTTCCTTGCCAGTTGAAAAGAAATTCCATCTAATGGTCTGGGTAGACAGTAACAGAAATGTTCATTAGCCAGAGTGTTAGCTATATGCCAAGTTTTAGTGGTTGTTTCAGTCTGGTCCAATAAGACCACATCTGACCTGGTTGCAGCAGAGCCACCATTCCTGGCAGTTCCTCCTCTAGTTTGGTAGAGAAGGAGACCAGCAACAGCTTCTCCTTCTTATTATAATACTTAACATCCTAATGCGTAGAGTAAATATGCTGTCCGACATCAAAAAGACCTCTTCAAGGAAGGAGGATCAGGTTAGCAATACAATCTAATAAGCACAATGTCAGTGTACTTAAGCTAAGGTTAAGATTATTGACACTTCAGTGGCTATTTAATTTCAGTGTTTTTAAATTTTTCAGGGTCTTTTTGAGTCAAGAGCAGGACATTTATAAATATACTATTTTTCCAAACAAAAACTGAAATCATAGGAGTTTCGGTTGTAATTCTATAACCACAGCTTTCAGGTGTTGATAATAGTTATATACCCACCTAGTTCCCAAAGCCTAACCATAGTGTTGGATTTGATGGTTAAAAAGACTTAATCATGTTTTGGTGGGAATATTTCATCTTAACATAAAGTAGATAGCTATTTTGATATGCAGAGGGGCAAGGAGAATCCTGATTTCATTTAGGAGACAGTGAGCATTGTTTCTAGAATAAGGCAAATGTGGATTGACTCTTCGCACTTTGTTTTTTTGGTCTGTAGCTCTAACACTTTCCTTGATTTTTTTTTTTTATTGGACAATCGAAAAGAGATAAATATTCTGCACCAGCCTGGAGATGAGACTGTAATTTCAGAATTCTCACTTGATGTTTTCCTTACTCCTATAAATAGCCCATACTTACTACTAATTTGTATATTCAACCACAAATATTTAGAGTTCTGGTGGAAAATTTCACATAATTGAGGCAATAACTGCTTTTTAATATTAGTTGATTAGTCTTTTAAAAACAATCGGGGAGGCTGATTTTATTATAAATTATTATTTACCTTAAATTTCCCAAAGTGAACCTAATTCATTATTCAAGTGGACTGCTTAATAAAATGTACTATATAGGAATTTTTTTATTTTAAAATTCTTGAACTTAATATTTTCACAAATGTTAAAATGGTTTTAACTATCATTAAAGGGGACCCATTTTTTTGTGTTCTCTACCAGCCATAAATGATAATTTTTTTATCTCCTTCAAAGGGGACAATTTAAGCATTGTTACTTAAATTGGATTATCTAGAATTAAGCCAATGTCTCTGTAAACTGTTATCTTTAGATATTCTTTGGATATCACTGGTGAGAGGAGGCAGATATTTGTATTAAGTGCAAATACATTAATTGCTGATTGAAAATGATAAGAAAGAAAATCTTAATATTTTTTCTGAGAATTGACAGGGAAATCTTGGGTTGCTCTATTGGATTGAAATGATATTGTTTCTGTTATTTTCCTTTTATAAAGCCTGCTGAGCTTTCCCTTCCCTGTCTGTACCTTTTTTTAAAAAGTGTTCAAGTGCTTAGTGATTACTAAAAAGAGTTATTTATTTATATATAGTTTCTACTCTCAAATAGCAGCACGGGAATGTCTGATGATATGCTGCCTAAATAAAAGTTGATTTAATTGACCAGTTTTTATTTGGACTCTTCTTGTCAATGAAATGATGAGTTCTGAGAACTTAGAATTTTGTAAGGGTCTTGGCTCACCACTTTCATATGGTAGAGAAATAAGAGAGTATGTCCTAGAGAAAGGGGATTCTGCATATTTCCTGTCAAAAACAAAGAAGGAGTAAGTCCACAGGGTGAGGGCCAGAGCCTGTAAAGGATAAAGACAGAAAACTATAGGAAGCCATGTTACATGTCCAGGGGGTTTACCCTGAGTACATTTTGTTTTCCTTAAAAAAAAAAAAGGGTACCATTGTTGTTATTGATTTTAGAGAGAGAGGAAGAGAGAGAGATAGAGAGATAGAAACATTGATGCTCAACCACAGAGCCACACAGAGTACATTTTCTTACTCAGAACTCTGAAGTAGATTCATCACTGAGATTGGTGTCTGGCCCAATGTGGGAGTAGGCACACCTTGGTTTTATTGTGTTTTGCTTCATTGTGTTTCACAGATGTTGCTTTTTTTTTTTTTTTTTTACAATTTGTCAACCACACTGTCCACAAGCAAAAAGATTACAAATACTTTATTGAGACACTTGCTTTATTGCAGTGGTCTGGAACCAAACCCATGATATCTCTGAGATAGGCCTGTACTCAAGGGTGAATGAACCAGTATAACTTTATATAACATTTCATAGGCAGTTTTGTCAGTTGGTCTTATAGGACTGAGTTTAAATATTG